AATGATGAAGAAGCAGTATTATTTGAAGCCTTCTATCCATTCAAATTGACAAAGCTCATCAAAATGGCCAAGTTGAATTCGTCACAGAGGTCCTAAATACAAGTGTCAGTTGTAAAACTCACTACAAAGAAACTTTTACCTTAAAATTTCCTTGTACCTCCAAATGGTAGTGCCAACATGTCAAGGGGTTCTCAGATGACACAACTAAAAAGACGCTTCTGGAAAACAGCAACTTTTGCTTTCGATTCATACAGATACCGCCTTCGAAGACTGCTCCTTGCTTCTAAAATTGACAGAAAATTTGTGTATTCTCAACTCCATCAAAATTTACATGGAAATTCTGACAGCTAAAAAATAGAATTTTACAGAATTTATTTATTATTACCAAATTATTATTATTATTATTATTATTACAAAATCGGAAAAGTCGTTATAACAGATCTTGCTCATATCGCCTACACGGTCACTATGAAGTTTACACACCAGAAAACTGATGCTGATCAAATCGCCTACACGCAAAGCCAGCAATGAATGTACTTAGCAAATGCAGTCGTCAAATCGGACATGGTCGCTTCCTCATTCTGATAATCTCATTACGGTCAAATTCAGGTTTGTTTGCAGGATACTAAGTTTGGTTTGCTTATTTCCTTTTCGTTGGATGTTTTTAAACGTTCCACAGGATTCCCGTTGGTTGCCCCTACAATTCAATTCTTCTTCTTTTACTTCTGTTGGCCAAAACTGCTAGGATCATTCGTCCATTCAATTCATTGATGCGATTCACTGTTTCAATTCGGCGACATGGCTATGATCATTCGCCCATTGCCGATTCCCGTCGAGGATTTGCTTCTTCTCCAGCGAAGGAGACTAATCTTTGAAGTTCAATGTTTGTTCTCAACTTCCAAGATAATAGGACTGTGACCGATAAGAAAAAACGTCGTCTCCCATTTACCTCGCCTACAATCCGGGCCCATCCGGCCTCCATACCGGCGTGAACAGGAAAAAACAGCGGGTCCGACGACTACTCCTGATGAGACCTTTAATATGCAAAATGATTTATTAATGTTTTTTTTTTTCGTTGCCACTAGAAAATAAAAATTGATAATAATTTTTGATTTCATTGAAATCATAACATCAAGCTTGATGCGCCAACTCCGTTAAAGCACGCGCGCTAAAAAAGCGCTCCTGACGATATTAAATGTGTATCGGAATGAATATAAATTCAACCCAAAGAAATTGGCAATGTTGCAGTTTTTCCTGGCTTCGCAGAAGCGAGGACATCTATATACATCGGGCGATCCAAATATACACGTGTATATTTTGAGATGTGTAACACCATTAGGAAGCCCATGCCTTGTTTAAATAACTTTAAATATACGGCTTCGGGTTGAACATTCAGGCAAACAGTTTTCTGCATTGCGTAGACAACACTAAATTCAAGCCCATAGCCTAGTTGCTATTTTGATAGATGTCACTATATCTTGGTATTTTCAATTATACACACGAAAATTTACGACGCCCGTTTTAGGCCAGGGCAAAAATTTGTCCGGCTTCGCAATAGATGCGAGATATGCGATTTTGGGTTTATATATATAAGTATATATATATATATATATATATATATATATATATATATATATATATATATATATATATATATATATATATATATATATATATATATATAAGTGTTCGAAGTGTTTTCGGAGCGCGAGCATTGAAGATGCCAAGTGAGATTTTGGCGAAACGTCTGCAGGATTCCAGTCGGAGTTCAACAAGCGAACGGATGATCCCGGAATATAGTGTCATCATTATATATATATATATATATATATATATATATATATATATATATATATATATATATATATATATATATATATATATATATATATATATATATATATATATATATATATATATATATATATATATATACTAACACTGAAAAATAAACTACGAAATATTCAATAATGTGTCACCATTACCACCGAATAATATTCTCATATATTACTTTTTTTAATGTACCTAAACTTAAATCTTAACAATGTTTTTCTAAATATACTCTCAAGGTGCATAACTAGTGTATAAAACTCTGAACTAAAGTATCTGTCTAGGTGATTTTCGACATATTCTCTATAAACTTTTGCCTCGGGATAAAAAGCGTCTCTTTCGTTCCTTGGATACCATCTAAATTTTTTTCCCAAATTGATTTTAAAAAATCCCCCTTTCAAATTCCTGCTCTAAAATACCCATTATACAGTGTGGCTTAAAGACGTTACCTAGGGCTGCGAGCGGCTTCGGATATTTCCGGTGATATATTAGCCAGGGCTTTGGTTTGTCAATTCTGATGGTCAAGGCACGCGTATAGTATGCAACACCTTGTAAACTTGTTCAGTCATTCATTTATTAAGCACTCCCTCCGTTGGTGCCAAATAAATTAATCTGGCGTTTATCAAAGAAACACAACAAAAAATATACGACTATGACAAATAAAGTCATAAGCAGTTGCCGAGAACAATAATAAAACCGAAATCTCATTCGATCAAATTAAAAATTAATTAATGTAATCAATTCTTCTACCCGGAAATATCCGAGAATCCATAGAAATCTCTAAACAACCAAACCATCTTAACCGCGACTCTGTTTTTCACCAATATGGAAATCTGAGACAATGTTCATGTCCCTCTTTTAGCTCCGCCTCTCTCAAAAAGTATAAAGTATAAAGAAGTAAAAGGACAACCACAGCTATAGGAGATTTAGTGCATAGTGATGTCTGCGGACGAATGAATCCATAAATTAAAGAGGGTCGTAAGTACTTCCAAACTATATTAGATGATTGTTCTCATTTCTTAACAATCAGAATTTAAAAAACCAAAAATAAAGCTAGTGAAAATCTTGTACAGTATGTTCCAGATCTTGAAAGACAAAATCAAGTCAAGGTTAAAGCATATAGACTAGATAATGGAGGTGAATTTGTTTCCAGCTCAAGATCTTTGGTTGTCGAGCCTGGTATACCATATTACCAAAGAGTAATAAGTTAGACGCTAAGCTAAGAGTATAAAATTAGCCATGAGAAGAAAGATACAAAAAAGGCAACAGAAGTAAGAAAAAATACAGTATACTTACCTGATCAAGAAGAGGATATAGAAAAGAGAGAAAACAGGGAACTAAATAAAATAGATGAATAAATGAATGAAGAACAATTTCAAAGGGATGGTGAGTTACAAGAAAGAGTTGATCGAGTTGATAGCGCAAGCAGTGATGAACATGATGAATGTTTACCAATAAACAATATGACAATAACAAGACATGGAAGAAGACTGGCGAGACCTAAAACACTAAGTGACTATGAAATCTACAGTGCATATTGTTTACTTATATCAGCGAAAGATGAACCCAAAAGCTATGAAGAAGCTTGTAAAACTGGAGACTGGAGGGAAGCCATAGAAAAGGAAATACGAGCTCATGAAAATTCTCAAACATGGATTCCCACAGAACTTCCTGAAGGTCATAAAGTCATAGACACAAAGTGGATATTCAAAGTGAAAGAAGATGGTACGAGGAAATCCAGGTTGGTTGCAAGAGGTTTTCAAGTACCTTATACCGAAAATGACAACTTCAATTACTCACCGGTATGCAGATTGGCCGCAATAAGACTACTTATTTCAGTATCTTTGCAGAATAATTGGAAACTGCACCAAATTGACGTTCCTACTGCATTTCTCAATGGAATTTTAGACAATGATGTGTACATAAAAACACCAGACGGTTTGAAGACGAAGTCTAGGTATTTAAGATTAAGACGTGCTTTATATGGACTATGGATAGTGTTCCATACAGAAGATTGGTATGTAGTTTAATGTATCTGATAACTGGACCAGATATTGCATATAGTGTTTCATACTTATCTTGATTCTTGGACAAACCAAATATGTGTGTATGGAATGCAGCGAAGAAGATTCTTCGTTAGCTCAGTTGCACTATTGACCTTGGACTAACATTCACCAAGCCAGACCACAAACTTACAGGTGTATGTGACGCTGATTGGGGTGGCGACCATTTAAGTCGCAAGAGTGTTAGCGGTTTTGTGTGTTTCCATGGCAAAAACTCAATTGCATGACACTTACGAAAACAAAATTGTGTTGCATTATCATCAATGGAGGTAGAATATATTTTCGCAGGACTTGCAGCACAAGAAGTTGTTAATTTGAGAGGTGTGTTAAGTGACTTAATAAACAAGTGTGGACCAGTGACTTTGAACTTAGACAAATATTAGTGCCATATCTATGATCAAGAACTGTGAAAACTAGGCGTGCTAAACACATTGACATAAAGTACCATTTCATCAAAGATCTACATTTAAAAGGTGCTGATACGTTCACGAAATCTTCAGGAAAAGAAAAATTTGTTAAATTTAGATCAATGGTGACAAGCAAAAGTAACACTTAAGGAAGTTGTATGTTATTGGACAATTTAAGTGCATTTGATTGCAGTTTGTTGATGCATTTAAATTGAGGGAGTGTGTTGAATGTATTAGTGCAGAACGCAGTTAATTTGCTTTGTGTTAAAGAAGTCTACATTAACTGTATGAGTGTTTTAGTTATTGTCATATAGATGGTACTACATGTATTGTTTTGTAATAATACTTTCTTTGGTCTACGTAATCAAAAAGAAAAAATACGCGGTGGAATGGCCGACCAAGTAGTTTAAGTGTAGAATGAATTTTGTCAGTTTTCTTATACAAAATTCCAATATTAAATACATCCTTCTTAAATAAAACGCTTCAGTGTGTGTTATGAGACCCACATAATTCAAGACAGCAATTGGTAGGACCTGCTGCTGTGAGAATTCAACGTCGAAGAAATGTGTGTGATTACAACTGCTGTCGTTCTTGCAGTAGAAAGTATGGAAAAAAAGAAAAGAAAAAGACATAAATGGGTGAAGTCGTGGTTATCCAAACGTAATACATACTGTTATTTATGTTTTAATGTTAAATGTTAATTTAATAAATGAATTGAGATTAGAATCGAACGATCACCGAAATTATCTGAGAATGGAATGGAATTTAAACAACTCCGCATTGATTTTTTTTTTGATAACGTCTTCTTTGCTGAATCTTCGTTCATTTCTTTCAACTTCTCAACTAAAAATTTGTATGCCTCTTGTTTTAATATTTTATTTTAAAACTCTTCATTTTATCGTGCACAAGCACGAATTGTATTTACATAATTCTATGAATTCCCTCATAATGACTTCGTGTTTCTTTGATAATCTAGAATTTGCCATTTTTTCCAGGGACTAATCTGCCACGAAAATTACGTAGAAACGGTCTTGGCGCGAAACCTAAACAAAACTGAACATACACTGACAAGTTGGCCTTCGCACTTGCTTTAAAAATCAGACACAATCTGATTCCCTTCGAGCCACGCTTGGAACTGAACGCGCCGTGAGTTTTGACAAATTCGCACTTACTCGCGTGTCTCGACCTGTACATGCAAGTCTTAACACTTGCCTGCATGTGTATAGGCCACTAATCAGTTTATTAAACACTCGCTCCGCTCGTGCCAAATAAACACTTGTTGCATAATATTCTATTGACTCGCAAGTTTATAAAATAAATAAATTAATAAATGAGTGAGTTAAAAAGTTTACCGAACGTGTTGCATACTATACTTTTTCTACGATCGTTAATTTTTGGGTACATTTTCGCAAAACAACACGAATACATTCACTGACATGACTGGCAGAATTGACAAACGTCAAAATTCAAAGCCTGGGAAATATCTCCGAAAACATCCGATTGCTCCCATGGCTGCATGGGAAACGTAACTGACGTGGTAAAGTGGCGCATCCCGCACGCTAGATCGGTGCGTAATTAAGTATTTTACAGACGGGAGTAGAAAAATGCCGTTTACCGTACTTGTTGCATAATATACTTTTCGTCTTCAAAATGAGCACATAAATTACATATCTAAATATGTGGAGGCTGTTACAGTGAGATGAATAACCATCCACGGTCAATATTACATTGCCAGCTGATTTTAGTGGTACAAAGTGCTAATTTAATCAATAAAAAAATCGGGCTGTTGTGTTACTGGGGCTGCTGTTGTGTTACTCAAAAATGACATCAGGGATGTATTTTCAACGTGCTTCCCAGCACGAAAATGTTGTCAGGATGGATGGATGCATGTGCAGCGAAAACAATTTATCACACTGAAAGTTTTTAACTATTTTATTTTAAGTCTTAAAATTATTACAAGTATAGAGCAGGTTTCGCTTAACCTATTCGAAACTGAGACTTGAGTTAGACTGACTTTGTCTATTTGGAAATCTGAGAAAGAAGATGCTCTTCGCGTTCAAATGTATACTTGACCGTGAGAGTAAAAAGTCTTTCCATGTTCGATTAGAAGTGATGCTATTAAAAGTGTTTGTGTTTATTACATTTTTACATTTACGAAATGTGACTCTAAAAGTGTATATATAACTTTGAGGTACAAGATATCGCACTGAAAACATCTAAGTGGAAAAAATGTTCAATAAGCACCTCGTATAGACAGATCGCTCATTCTTTCATCGCAAGTCTAGTAATTGCAAAAAGTTTCGCCTCCCAAATATATAATTATGATTATATATTATTAGAAAATTAAAAACTAGTATAAAACAAGTCAATAAACAATTAACACTAAATGTAACAGAATTAACATTACCAAACCTTAAAAAGTGTAGTTTATTGTCTCAAAATTTAAAAAAAAATTTGGTAGCAAAAATTTTATGGCGGCTACCGCAAAAAATTCCCCGTCGAAAATAGTTATCAGCAATTGTTAAATGCTAAAAATACATGTAGAAATTGCATTTTGTCTACCGGACTTTAGATTTACCTTTAATTATAATAGCATTTTATAAAGTGTTTTATTAACTCGTACATGAATTATTCAATAAGGCCTTTATTGAAAAGAATAAAATATATTGTTGCTTATAAACACAACAAGAAATTACATAAAAATATGTGCTGAATTTTTTAATAGCATAAGAGTATTTATTTTTTATTTTTCAAGGAACTTTTATATTACTTGATTTGAGAGGATCACCACCTTTAAAAATTGCAAAAAAGAAGATGAAACCAATAAAAAAAATGTTCATTTATAATAAAATAAAATATTGTTAAATGTTAGTAGAATAACTACAGCAAAAATTTCATTAACTGTAAAATGAAGATTTAAATGAGAAGCACTTGTTGACAATATGTTACTGTGCCTTCTTTTTAAAAACTGATGATCGCTGGTTATTCTGTGCCAGAGTTCTCTATAACTTGTTATGTTGTTTTGACTACCACTGAAGATTAAGTTCTACCTAGTAAAGAAATTATTTTGACTTGTTAGAAATATAGCTTAAAAACGCCCCCCAATCAACAAAAATTTCTCTTATGTTCAAGATGGAAAAATTTCAGTTACAAATTATGCAGGAAAAATACAATATTTTAGATAGAAAAAAAGTTGGTAACATATTACCAACAAAATAATATTTTTGAGGAATATGAAATTATTTGATAAATTTTATCAGTCTTCTTAGAAAAAAAAAGATACTATTTGGCACTATGGGCAAATAGAATGACCAGAAAACAAGTAACCCGATTTACAACAATATTTACCTAAAAGACACTGCACTGCCTAGTTTATCAAGACTTTACCACCTCTTCTATAGTTTAAAGGAGTGATGTGACGCCCACATATGGAGGATTTTCTAAAACTATTAGCCTCCCTGGCGGGTCCATCTTTAACAAGCAATGTTTCCTTACAATTTCATCTTTTGGTAAACTAAAAAATAAAATGTAAATTGATTAATTACATGGATATAATAATATTAATAATAATGTTTTCATTTCCACAACACACACTTTCTCATATATATGAACAATGTATTCTCGTAACAAACGGAACATATATACATATACAATGCAGAAATCAACAAAGTTCAGTGATGGACTGGCTACAAGTGACCAGACCACCCTGCTCCACTCAACTGTAAACTTAATATGGGAAATATAACATTTGGCACAGCACATAAAAACCAATATATAACCTTTTTACTCTGCAACAGGTGATATCAATCATTAATTATTGTAGGATGTTAAAATAATACTAAAAATGTGGCGTTTAAAATTTGGTGGAGAAAAGGATTTAATTTTATGTAATAAATAAATCAAAACTAAGAAACAGACATATATGAAAGTCTACAAAAAAAAGGGATAGAGAACATGGATCAGTCTCATAACTTATCCAAAAACTTGTATTAAATAGTTATTCACACAAAGGAGGTAGGTGATACTTACGAGTCTAGGACATAGCTTACTCTCGAGCCAAACAATGGTTGGGAAAATAGTCGGAGACTAATCAAGACCTCTTCTTCCCAAGTTGTGCATATAATATTTTGCCTACTCAAGTTGTCCCGAATCCAACAAGCAGATTTACAAAATCAGTATTTATTGATAGAACTATTTCTATTTAATCATTGTCAAATTGTGTGTGTACGTACTGCAGTATTCACTTACCTCCCTAAGGAGGTAGGTAACCTACAAATAATGTACCCCAAAATTTTGAATAGTTGTCTAGAATTTCTGGTTATGTAATTTTTGACTAACCGAAAGGCAATTTTATTTTCACTAAGGGTGATGACAAACGAAAACTTTCCCACAGTGAGGTTTACAAGCATTTGTAACTGTCAAGGAGTATTTATTGCAGCTTAATTGTTTTTTTATATTTTCTGCAATTATTGTACACTAAAACATATTACCCAAACATCTTTCCTATGTAGCTATTTAAGGGTATATTGCAGTTTGTTAAATCACTCGGGTTTGTCCATACCTGCCACACTTCCAATTTCATGAAGGAGCAAGTATTGAAAGCACAAATTATACAAATTTGTGAGTGGGAATCCTATAGAAACCACTTTTAAATCTTTTAAATTAACTTGTACATAAAGCAACAGTTACCCGTACATAGGCACATTCTTTTTCTTACACTTTTGACCACAAACACAAGTTTTTCACAAAAACACGAAAAAGGTACACAGAGAATGATAACCACCAAAAATGTAAACAAAGGCACAGACTGTTAATATTCTCTGGTAAGAGCAATTCCTAGCTCGGCGTTACCAATATTCGGATTTCAGAGACTGATTTTGCGTTCTTATGAAAATTACTCAATTTTTTCTGAAAAATTACTGTAATGAGGCAACTCTGTTATATGAGCAAAACCGAGAATATCATAGCCACCTGCAGTGCATCACTTTTTAGTAGGGCCACTATATTTGGATATATGGATTTCTTACACATGTCCGCTACTGACCTGGCAGCAAGTAAAAACTCTCGTTCTATTTACTCAGGGCTGAGGATTTTCTCCTCTGTGTAAATATCTCCCTCCCTCCCTCCCCCAACTTTCTCAATATTACTTTTGATAGTTTGGCCTTACCAGATGTGCGGGCTGTAATATTTGTTTGTTAACCGAAACCTGCCTTCCCATTGTGCCCTACGAAACCCATCTACATCCAGAATATCTAAGTCATCACTATACATCTCGTCTTCCATTACGTCAAGTTTAACAAATTCCAGTTACGTTTATGTTTCCTTAAAGCAAGCCGCCACCCCAACAACTCAATCACACTTTTCATGCTATTCATCAACTGATTATCTTAATAACTGGCCAAAATTCTCCAGCAACTGGGTTATAAGTAACATTCCGTTGGTGGTTAAGGACATAGGTACTTACCCACTTGTTATTACTGATTATTTACATTGGTGGAGCCAATCCTATCCATTACGAGATCTTGCGTCAGCTCGTGGGCAAGTGGCCCGAGGATAAGTGCCATGAAGGAAATTTTCCGTACGGTGATTAATGTACCATCGGCTTTCGGTACAACAGCGAAGGAGTGAAGACTACCTGAGTATTGTTGTGCAAATCTTTAGGCATCGGCCCTAATTTTTATTGTTTTCTGTTATTTGGTGAGTCCATTTAACGCATCCAGTTATATATCAGTTTTTGTGGCTGGTAGTTTCCTCCTCTTGACCCTCTAACCTCAACCATGGGGGACTCTTCGGGGGCGAGGGCCCCCCGACGGTTAGTGCAGCACAAGAAAATGACAGTTTATCCAATGATTCTCAAAATCGTCCGTTGAACGCCATTATTTGTAACATTTTGCCACCGGATTGCAAAAAAACTGCTGAAGATATTTCCAGGCTCCAGTATTTTGATGTGCCCTCAGGTGAAGAGTTGTCAAAGTTATCGGCAGAGATCCAGATTATCAAGAATCAGTTCGAGCAAGACGCTGAAATCCTGCGGGAAGTTGCCAAAATCTCCGCAAACATATGAAGGACAGTAAATCGGAAAACAAAATATGAAATCACCGACCAGGGGCCTTTTATGGTGATTCTGGAGGGGATTACAAGTAAGGTGGGGAATCTTCATCCTATGAACTTTGGGAAGTTACTTCAAGCGCAGAAAGTTCAAGGTATATTGAAAATTTCTAGAAAAGGAGCCAATAAAATCGGTTTGGAGTTTAACACCTCTGAGTCTGCAAATAAATTTTTATCTAATGAAACCTATTCGACAGCTGGTGGGTATAATAAGTATATACCTCAAAGACTAGTCACTTGCCGAGGGTTGGTGAGGGACATTGGTGACTTAATTGATGAGGATGATTTTTACTCTGAGGCAGAAGCCAAGGTTAACATCGGAAGATCGCTAAAGCGCGTTAAGATTGTTAATGTTCGCAGACTAACTAAAAGGGTCAAATGCCCAGGTGTTCTGCCTGGCACTTTTGGTTTCAAGACAGTTCCATCTAATGATTATATAATAACATTTGACGGTAAAACTCTTCCAGAATCAATCAGTATCTATAAAAATGAGTGTTCAATCGAAAAATATGTTAGTCCTGTTGTCTTATGTATGAATTGTTGCAGGTTTGGTCATTGGAAAAACCAATGTAAAAGCAAGGGTAGATGTAGTTTCTGCGCTGGAGATCATCCAGTATTTCATTGTGAACTGAAAGAACAGTTTTATAAGAAGAAACCATGCCCGACAGACCACTTAAATCATGAAGGTAAATGCAGCCTGGGTAATTGCGAAATATCTCCAAAGCCAACTTGCATCCATTGTAAAGGCTCTCATCAGGCCACTGATAGATCATGTCCGGAAATGGACAGACAGAAGAAAATCAATGAGGCTATGGCATGGTACAACTTGTCCTTTTTTGAAGCGGCCAAACTCTTTCCAAGAGGCCCCAAATCAAGTGAGTTTAATCGCTCTAATGAAAATTTCCCTCCTATTCATAACACGGTTGCCCCCGTCTCTCAGCCTTCCCCTAGATCTGCTTCTAAAACTTATTCTGTCATAGCAAAAAAGCGTAAGTCCCCCCAAATAGAATCAGGGTATGATAGGGACGCCCACAGGGATTGTCTCGTGCCGCCGTTGACTAGGCAGAAGTTGAATCACACTAGCAAAAGTCAATCTTCTCCCTCATATTTAAATGATTTATCGTCAGAGTCCGAGATGGACACTGCTTCTCCAGGGGTTTCCTCCTCTGGTGAATTTTGGTATCGGTTTGAAAATTAAAGAAAAAAGTCTTGTCCAATATACCCAGTAAAAGTGCTCACCATGAAATTGAGAGTCTTTTTGACTCCCTGCCTCCTCCCGGAGGATGCAGGTTTTAATTTATTAATGTTCCCAGATCGACAGTCAAATCTTTCTGTTAAAATTAGTAATTTCTCAATTATTCATTGGAACACTTGCGGTATTAGAAGTAATTGTGATAGTATTATTAGACTTATTCGTGACTTTGGTCCGGATATAGTCATGATTAATGAATCTTTTTTACTCCCATGGGAAGAGACATTTATATTTACCGATGCCTCTAAGGGACCAGATGATAGAGTTGGCTTTGGAGTATTTATTCCGTTTCTCAATGTTAGGGTCGGGCATGGGTTGAATAGCGCGTTTTGTATTTGCTCTGCAGAAATGGTAGCTATTAGTTACGCCCTAGATCTTATATTAGATTATAATATTAAACAGGCAGTAGTTGTGTCCGATTCCAAAAGTGCCCTGCAGAGCTTCGGATGCAGTGCGGTTGAAGCTTCCAACAGCTACATTCTACTAGATATTAAAGCAAAGATTGATATTTTAAAGCGCAGACTTGGGGGGAAAATCCGAAAAATCGACATTTAGAACTTCTGAGATTAGTCTCCTTCGCTGGAGAAGATCCGAAAATCCTCGACATTTGGAACTTTAAAGTTTAGTCTCCTTCGCTGGAGAAGATCTGACAATCCTCGACATTTGGAACTTCAAAAATCAGTCTTCTTCGCCAGAGAAGATACGAAAATCCTCGACATTTAGAACTTCAAAATTCTGTCTCCTTCCTGGAGAAGATCCGAGAATCCTCGACGGAAGTCGGCAATGGGCGAATGATCCTGGTAGTCGTGCCCAACAGTTATCTGTGAACGCATCATTGAATTGAATGTACCATCGGTCACTGATCTTCGTTTTGTCGTAGCCAGAGAGAAAACTTTCGCTCTATGACATTTATTTGTAAACTTATTCTTTGATCTCATATTTCGAAATTAAGGAAATTCTGGGCTGCTCAAAGGAAATAGGTTTTACTTGAGTTAGCTATGTTGTGCATTAATCCTGCTAGAACATGGCTATGCTTTAATTTTAGCGTACTTAAACATATTTCACCAGAATTCGCCCATGCCAAGACACTTCCTATATACCACAGCAAAATGAAACCGTTTTCACTGTATATATTTTAGGCGTTTTGAGAATCGAGAATTTTTGCATAAATATGAGGTTTTACTAGTAAATTATGGAAATGCTAGAATTTAGTAGTCGTTTGGATGGTGAAGGCGATGTGAGCAACACCACTGTTGTCTAATTATAATGATTTAACCTAAAACAAACCTCCCCTATGGTTTGTTTAGAAGATGTAGGTAAAATTAAACAAATTCGGTCTTCATGTTTGGCTTGTTTTTCAGCGGGAATGCATGAATGGACTCGATCCTGTATTATCTTATATATGGAGTCAAAGCAGCCAGAATTTCTAATGGAATTTGAAGCAGTTGAAAGCAGGCTATCTGTATTAGCTATTTATACGAAACTCGTGGAAACGGGGTAATTTTGAACAAAATATGAGTTTCTAGTTGTTAAAGCTCTATGAATAGAAAACCAGTTGCTGTTTTTCTCAAGTTTCATATAGTTGCAAGGATGACATATTTTGGGTGCTGTCACATAATGGCACCAGTATTTGATGCTGCTAGGAGGGAATTTTAAAGTACAACCTTTTGGCATTCGAAGTAAGTTTTACAGCTGATATTTGCTATTTGTATAACCAAGGATTTGTGTTTAAGTTGACTTGGTTATCTTGTTGAGCTTTGGTTATGTGAATACCAAGTTCGCAATGAAGAAATTGGAAGGCTATTTGAACAGATGGGTCATTTTCAAGTAAGCTTCTGTTAGTTCTTATCAGGCACATGGACATGTTTATACCACCAGAAAGAGTTTTGAAATTTGCATGTTATTCTGAAAATTTTAAAAAAGAAAATACCTAATAGGAAATAATTTTTTTTTGCTATTTTAAAATTTCACAAAACTGCAAGAATGAATCATATAAATTTCTTGACAAACTTTTGTAGACTAATGAATAGCGGTACTAACTAACCACATTTTTTATAAGAAAAACTTCAATAACATGTACGGATCATTTAAATTTTTAATTAGTTTTGTACAGTTTTATAAAAGTTTTACTTTTGGGATGTGGGAAGCCATATTATGCTTATTTTTTACAGTTGCTTTCATAAAAGTGGTAAAAGTTTTATTTTTTTACATTATCACATGTTTGGATTCTAACATCAAAATGAGTGTTTGTTGTACCTAGATTGTAAGGTTTTTTAAATAATTTGAGTTATGTCAAAATATAATCTAATGTTAATTTTTTAATAACATAAGTATTTAACATACATTAATGAAATTGACAGTAGAGTGTAATAATACACCCTATTTAATATCCCAATTATAAAAAACTTGCCATCTGATAAAGGGGGACCAAAAATGTATCCTATTCTAATAACAAAATTTAGTTTTTATCACTTGATTAATCTAAATTAAACTCCATATTTTTAACTTACTTTTCTCGTTTTCCGAGAATATGCGAAATTTTGATTTTTGTTTGATGTTTTATAGTTGCCTATGGTATTTAGAAATGAAAGATAATTTATTGTACTTTTTTCACAACGGTTTAATGACAAGGCACTTTCATCATGAGAAATCAGACTAATATTATCGCTGTTTCGAAATACAAAGTATTTAATTACAGATCCTAATTACATTACAGTTATCCTAATATCCTTTAATCACATTTGAATACACCAAATACGTAAAATATAAAATATAATACACAAAATACACAGGTAGGTCAATGTGCAGTGGTTTATGAATCAATATAATTTATCTTACTGTAAAAAAATCTTTCACAGTATAGAAAGATTTTTTGATTAAGAAAGTTTTTATTTTTAATATGAAAGCCTCGAAATCTACTTGTTTAATATTATTTGGAAGCTTACTGATGAATATTAGAGTAAAATAGTTTTTGCTATAAGTAGATTTTTTGAATATGAGAACTTCCAGGTTTATCTTCATTAATATGGGTAATATAAGAGTGAAATGAGCGTTCTTTTATATTTTTTATTAATTAACCAAACCAATATGTATCAGCAAGGTATTATTAATTCTCAAAATATTGAAGTGTTCTTTACATCAACTCTATATGTTAACTCCTCTATTATTCTTATTGCTCTTCTTTGTGGTGCAAAGATTCTATTTGCATCTCTCCTTATCAATATTACATAAGTAGCTATCGACTCAGACATGGAGAAATTATTGATAATTTTAGATGAGACTTTTTTTATCACATTTTTTTACTCTGCTAAAGTTGTTCTTAACTAAATTTTTATAGCACAATAGCGTTAAAAAGATATAATAATAAATAAAAAAAAAGTATTTTAAAAACCATTTATTGACATATCATTTCTAATAAAAAACATTAAATGGCATTCATTTATTGACACATGGAAATTAAAAAAAATTATATTAACAGAATGAGGTAACTAACTGAAACTCGTACTTCTGTCTTTCTCTAGTTTCTAAAATTCAGGAGTAGGCAGTACTCCAACATTGCTTAGTTCAACTTCAAATGGTAGTTCTTTTTTCAGAAATGTTTTTGCTTTCTCCTAAGTCAAAAAATATTTGATCATATGCTTTCCAGATAATATCTACATCAACTCGACTGTCACCACTGTCTATCCAACTTTATTCATCTTCTGACGCCTCTGACGAAACTTTTGTTTCTGAAGCCTCTTACCCAAATTTTGATTTCTCCATTTTATGTGACTTAGACAGGGTCGTGTCAAGTGACGGTTTGTCAATAATTGGAAAAAGTATTATTTTAATAAACCAATGATTAATACACAAGTGTCCAAGAATTTTGCTAGATCAGGAAATTCGAATTAGTTTCTGCATGCATTATACTAACGAATAAATGGAAGTGAAATTATATATCAATTACCACTGATCATGAGTCAATTAACGATTGTTTACTTTAGTATTTTTTATACTTTTAATAAGAAATATGACCTTTAAATGAAAGTTTCGGAATCAAAGCAAACTTCAAGAACCTTATATGCTGAATATCGATTGTGATACAGGCAGCAAATTGGTTTCTTAAAAATAGGTAAATCATGAGCAGGTGTCAATTAATGGTTGTCTACCTTAGTGTTCTTTAGGCTTTTAAAAGAAATGTAACCATCAAATGAAAGTTTCGGGATAAAGCAAACTTTTTGACTTTTTAGACCAATAACCATTTTTTCTGTCTTTGGCGTGTTAATTTGCAGTCCATGTGCAACAAACCATGCACACAAGTCTTACAAGCACCTTCCCATTGCTGTATCCAAAGCTTCAATATCTCGCAAATGTTGTCCAGAGTCAGCACTAGTTTCAAGAAAAGAATGTGGATGGTCGCCATTTCCAAAAATTTTCTTATATAAGTAAACGTTTTTCTTCCTTTTTATCTCACCTTTAGTTAGTTTTCGTTAGTTAATTGTCGTTAGAGTATGGATAATGAGAATAAAAAAATAACATAAACAGGTACCAAAAATTATGATAAATTCTATATTTCACTAGAGATCAATGATCTATCGGACATAAAACTTTTCAGATGATTTTTAAATATGTGTGTACAATCTTTACAGGAAATAGGTATTGACTTATCAGTTACGGCAGAGGTATATAAAAACAATTTTTGAAAAACTCTGTCCCTGCTGTGGCATCACTGAAACGAATGTTTGCAGTTCTTTGAAATACCAGTTCTGCTAAGTAACTGTTTTTTTTAATTTTAAGATTTTATCCAACTGATCCATATTAACATAGATGAGCCATGTTAGCCCAAAAAATTCTTTAACCTGATGATGGATTCTTAACATATTGAACACAAGCATTCTGCTCCTTCTTTATTCTATATTTATTAAAATTTGTAAGTAAGGCACCATATGCAATGTCAAGATAAGCAAGTGTCGACAGTACCAAACATTCCGAAAGCTATCTTAAATTCTTGAGTTAGTTTAAATTTTTAATTTGAATTTTGTCCATGTACAACTCCAGACACTGTTTACAAATCCTCTCTATTCCATCAGCGTGGGTTGTTCATGAATCGAACTTGCTGTTTCATCATTTACCCTGTTGGCTTCTTCAGAGCTTAATTGAAACATATGCTTGCGATTTCAAGCTTCAACTGTACTAGGTTATGATCAAGAATTTTCAGTTTTTTCAGATTTCAAATTTTTTGAATTTTTAATTAAGAATCCAAAATTTCCTTATGCCAATCTTACTATTTTTAAAATATGTTCATTGAATGTTAATTTCGCATCAAATATTACGCCAAAGTCATATTTTGTGGTAATTGATTTAATAGTAACTTTATTCAATTTATATTCAAAATGGCTCTTTTCATAAGTAACAGATATGGACATTGATTGATTGATTGATTGATTTGACATTAAAAGCTAATTATTTTTTGACCACTTTTTCCTTTGCTATTTTTCTGTATATTTTCATGTCATCAGTCAGAATTTTCAGTTTTTTCAGATTTGAAATTATTTGAATTTTTAATTAAGAATCCAAGATTTCTTTATGCCAATCTTACCATTTTTAAAATATGTTCATTGAATGCTAATTTCGCATCAAATATTACGCCAAAGTCATATTTTGTGGTAATTGATTTAATAGTAACTTTATTCAATTTATATTCAAAATGGCTCTTTTCATAGGTAACAGATATGCACATTGATTGATTGATTAATTTTGACTTTTTCCTTCCCTATTTTTCTGTATATTTTCATGTCATCAGCATACAGCAAGATATTTGAATCCTTAATACTTTGTCCTATGTCATTTATGAATAATAGAAATAATAGTGGGCCTAGTGTTGATCCCTATGACACCCTAGACAGAACAAGAGATGGATAAAAGGTAATAAAAAACACCAGTCCTTAGATAAGGAAAACTGGCTTTTTTGTACTCCCGTCTGTAAAATACCTAATTACACACCGATATAGCGTGCGGGAAGCGTCACGTTACCACGTCAGTTTCGTTTCCCACGGATTCGAGCCACTTCCGAGATTTTGCCGCACGGATTTGGGAGCAATCGGATGTTTTAGAAGATATTTCCCATGCCCTGAATTTTGACGTTTGTCAATTCTGACGGTTATGTCAGTGAATATATTCGTGTTGTTTCGCGAAAATGGACCCAAAAACTAGCGGTCGTAGAAAAAGTAATAGTATGCAACACGTTCGGTAAACTTTTTAAGTCACTCGTTTATTAAACACTCGCTCCGCTCGTGTCAAATAAACTCGTGAGTCAAATGCCGTTTAGCGCACTTGTTGCATAATATATTATTTTAAAATCTGTCAACATAGTATCCACCTGCCCCTCAGATGCTATGACTTTTATGACAAATTTTGTAAAATCTAAGAGATTTCGCAAAGTAGATCTGCGCTCTCGAAAACCATACTCAAAGTCCTTTATTAAGTCCTATTCGAGCTATTTTTAACTTGTCTGGAAATGTTTTTGACATTATTCCTATCTTAAAAATTAAGTCAAGTGGTTTTGCCAGGTAGAGTTTACAACTCTTTAAAATATCACGGGTAAAGTAATCGTGGCCTATAGTTGTCTTATTTTTTAGCTTTGATATTGCAGTAATAACATCGATTTCTATGACAGGAAAGGGCTGTAAATGAACGTCGGAATTTCAAGGAAACCCACCTGATAATTATAGTTGCTAGCCTGTAAATAAACGGATTTAAAATACATATTACTTGATTATTTTGAAACATTTGATTAGGAATACCTTTGTTGAATTCTTCATAATTCGACAAATATTTTTTATATGCAGGTGTAATATATTTTTTTGTTTATTCTCGATCGTAAAAATTTATAATCATCCAAACATTGGCATAACCATGTTTTTTTATATAATTTCAAATTTCGAACCTTAGATTTTTTATATCATGCCTTCTTGATTATCAAATATCGGGACAATTGAAATCGCTTTCAATTCATATATGGTGTTCCAACAAAAATTATTTTGACATTTAAGCGTAAGGTTGCCATTGGCAAATATTTTTTAAAATTTTCAAAGAAAATTTCACAGGCTACGGTAATACTATATACAAATCTTCTGGATTCCTCACCTAATTTTGTTATTTTAAATGGTATGCCCTATTTATTTTGGTTGCAATGAATTGTCGGATTTGTTTCTAATTAATTACTGAGCTCCGGCAACACCGCTTTTTCAGTAAAATGTGCCGGAACCCTGAAATATCTCCAAAACAGCCAAATCTGAAAGGATACATTTCAACATCTTAGGTCACCTAGTCAGATTTACCACCGTTAATAAAAAATTATTAACTTCTTAGAAGTGTTTCAACGGAAGGTTATCAGAATTATAAATCAGTGCGAAATCTGACAGCATTGCATGTCTGAAAATCAGCAAGTATTGAATTTTATTGTTCCAGGTCACTCAGTCACAGAAAAAACGTAAAATTAAAAAAAAACACATTTGCTCAAAATTAAATATGATTAATAAATCAATAAGACGTTATATGATTCCACAATGTCTTCTTGAAACTAACGTGCATGATAATTTTTATTATTTATTCTTATTAAAGCGAAAGTAATGTAAATGTTTAAAAGAACAATTTAAACAGATATAGATATGGATTTAAAACAAAGAGGCCATCATTGTATTTTGTTTCTGTCAACGCTATCCTTAAACGTGCACTATTAATGTAATATGTTTTCTTACAAAATATAATTACATTGAATAAAACGAACAGATTGTTTTCAATCATACCTAATTGCCTTCACTCAGGTTTTGGTATAAAATGAAAGAAAATTCTTAACAATGTTTAGGTGTGATCTTTCATCTTCATCGTTGCACTGTTTTGTGATGCTTAATTTTATTCAGTGCATATGTGATATACAAGGTGTTTTCTAATTGAATGTCAATAATTTGGGCGGCGATTTTTGGGTGAATTTTAAAAAGAAAACTTAGTATGAACATATGTCCTAAGCGTCTTAACTTTTGAGATACAGGGTGGTAAAGTTTTCAAAAATAAAATATATTTTTTTAATATCTTTAGATATTTTAATAACATTTCTCACACATGCACTATTTATTTAGTGTACCACAATTTTTTAAAAATATATCAGTGGCGGAATTACACTGATTTTTCTTAAAATAAAAATTATAAATAAAATAAATAAAAATAAAAAAATCATAAAAATAAAGAAATGTAATCCGATGTACGGTTCTCGCTTTAAAAAAATAAAAACCTCTTCTCTGCACGATCATAGCAATATCGTTAGTATGACAGCAGAGAGAATTATTATCATTACTATTTCTTACTTAAGTAATTGTCTATATGTAGAAGACCTGAAGGATCGTATAAGAACTGCCTGTGATTTAATAATAAACACTGGAGGTATACTTCAAAGAGTGCGTGGCAATATTGGGAAAAGATCTAAAGCGTGTGAGCCTTACGGCGAGGTACACTTTCAGCAACTCATCTATTTTCTATGTTTGACTTCTTTTCAAAAAAGCTGTTATTAATTTATTAACAGACAATTTTCTAAAAAAATATTAATACTAAGTAAGTATATTAAATAATAAATAAGAATAGATTTATATTTTATATTTCATAATCCCGATTTATCCAGTGCAGTGGCGACGTAATTAATCAAAATAATTGTTCTGATCTCGTAATTTTTTTTTTTGGTCCGTCGCACGGTTTTTACTTTCAAGAAATTAAATTTGTTTAGAAAGCATTGGAGATTGTAAAAATTATTTTTATTTTAAGAGGGGTCAGGGCTTGCTATCAATTTCTGCCCAAATAGACAGATGGAATTACGTAGGACCGCCACTGGTGTATTTAAAAAAAAAGTGGTACACTAAATAATACCCCTTGATACATAGTACATGGGTGTCAAATTTCATTAAACCAACTATAGTGGTATGACAGATATTAAAAAAATATATTATTTTTGAAAACTTAACCGCCCTGTATCTCAAAAGTTAAGACATATGTTCATATGAAGATTTCTTTTTAAAAATGGACCAGAAATTCGCCGCCCAAATTTATTATTATTGTTTATAATTATTATTACAATGAATAAAGTGCTGAGGAGAACCTATTATGCACATTGATAGTAGAATGTTATACATATAATAAATATTTAGTTATTGCTATGAAACAATATACTGTCCAAGCGACATTTAAATACAGACAAGTTTGGCGCACACACATCTGGGGATAAACTGTTCGAATAATCGAAAGTCTTGTTACTTATAAAATGCAGGCGATGCGAAGTCCTGATTTGTTCCTTTCTTATTTTAAATAGATGACCTCGTAGACGTTCATCATTGCTTAAGACAACAAGGGTCACGTCAGATGGAAATTGGTCATGTGCAAACGTATCCATTTGAATGGGATCCCTTCGCAGCCGACGCTGACTTAATGTTGAGACGGTCATCGTAAGGTGTATGTCTAAGTTAAAGTGGCCAGCGCGTAGCCGCTCGTTGCACTCTTTCCAGAACATCACGCAATAGCCATGGGTTCTAGATAGGGGAAGCAAATTCCAGGATGGGGCGAATGTAAGTGGTGGAAAAAAATATTGACATTTAATTATAAAACACCGTATATATAGTACATTGCATGTTTGTTTATCGCCACTCTTAAACCAACAAGAAAACGGTTATAAAACCTTGGGGGTAGTGCAAATCCAAACGCCGTTCACTACCTAAGAACACAAGTGGACTGATGGCGGCTTTATCCTTTTGTGCTAGTGGCTGGTAAAGGTCACATGACAGCAGCCCCTATTTTCTTTTTAAAATATTAAAAAAAACTTTTGTTTTGAAGATAATACGGATTAATACAAATACGCAATGTATTAAAAATAAGCAAAAAGAAAATCGTTGATTTTTTATAGTGAGTAAGTTAATAATTTATAAAAACGTACCCAATGTTATATTTCTTGTGCATTTGAAAATGCATTTTTTTTCCTGGGTGTTGGTAAATTGGACATTACAAACGCATCATAATTTATTATAAAATAATGAGAGATATCAGTCTACAATTGCAAGATATTATTAAAAAAAATTTGATCGAATTTGATTGGTCAAGTAAAAAGTAGTCTAATCTAATAATAATAATAACGTAAATAAAGTATTTTCATGAAAATTTTAAGTTTTGATTCTGTCATTTTTATATTGAGGGAATATGTATTTGTTCCCTATATTTATATAATGGGTGTTTTTTTCGATGTAGAGAACTTTAAGTTGGCATTACTGTTCAAGATGGCGACCGATTTAACAGATGTCAAGTGATTTATTCTGTTTGGTTTGTCAATTCATCATGAATAGAGTCAGTCACGCCTGAACAACGCTTGCAAATAGTGCAATTTTATTTCGAAAATTATGGTTCTGTGTGGAATACGTATTGCGCGCTACGTCCATTTTATCGTCGACAAAATCGTCCAACAGAGCAGTTAATTCGATTAACCATGGAACATTTTCGCACCACGGTTACTCTTATTGATAATTCGCATCCCCAGAGACGCCGTACGGTGCGTACAGAAGAAGCTATTGCTGCTGTAGAGCGTAGCATTGAGGAAGACCCGAATGAGTCCATCCGCCATCGAGCACAAGAATTGGATCTGTGTCCATCCACTTTATGGAAGATTTTGTTTTGGTTTACGTGCCTACAAAATTCAACTCGTGCAAGAATTGAAACCAAACGATCATCAAGTAAGGCAGGCATAGATCATCGAATAGGCCCAAAACAAGATTGACGTTGTTCCCGATTTTCATAAGCGAATTTTGTTTAGCGATGAAGCGCACTTCTGGTTGAATGGCTACGTCAACAAACAAAACTGCCGCATTTGGAGCGAAGCTAATCCTCAAGTGTATGTCGAAACATCGTTACATCCATAAAAAGTGACTGTTTGGTGCGCTTTATCGGCTGGTGGAATCATTGGTCTGTACTTCTTCAAAAACGATGATGGCCAGAATGTTACAGTCAATGGTGATCGGTATAGAGCTATGATTACTAACTTTTTCATTCCTGAATTGAATAACCATGATGTCCAGGAGATGTGATTTCAACAAGACGGCGCAACATGTCACACAGCTTGTGCCACAATTGATTTATTGAGACACATTTGGTGACCGCCCAATTTCACTTTTGGACCTGTGAAGTGGCCTCCAAGATCTTGTGATTTAACACCGCTAGACTACTTTCTATGGGGCTATGTAAAGTCATTGGTCTTTGCGGATAAGCCACAAACATTTGACCATAAGGAAGACAACATTCGCCGTGTTATTGCCAACAAATGTTGGAAAGTCATCAAAAATTGGACGTCCAGATTGGACTACATCCGCGCCAGCCGTGGCGGTCATATGCCAGAAATCATATTTAAAATGTAATGCCACAAAATTATCTTTCGGATAAATAAAATTCATGTCAATCGAATAATTCATCATTGTTTTATTGCAACTTAAAGTTCTATACATAAAAAAAAACATCCCTTATATGTATATGTTTCCCTATTTCAAAAAGTAAACAATACTAGAATGCTAAAATTTGTCTCACTTTTCTATCATGTTAAACCCATTCCAATATTGATGGACTTCGCTGGTGATCTCTCTTGTAGTCATCAAAAGTCATGGGATTTTTAATCTTGAAAGCTATCCATGTCCTCAACAATGTATTTTTTTTTGTTTAATCTTTTACTCCTGTGTATTTTCTAAAATGGCTCAATTTTGTATTGAAACTTAAAAACGAGACTTCCGAGACTTGTTTTATTATCATCTGCATTGAGAAAAAGGAACAGAACGTTTTTTCGGCACTCCTTTTCTTATCTTATGGTCCTAAAAATTAAGTAGATTGACAGTGTTAAGCATCCATATGCCTTCTGTAATCAAAACAATAACAAAAGTTTTTACCTTTTAGAACACATAACCTCCATTTTTCCATACTTTATTAGCCTATCTAGTTCCCAAAGTCGAAAGTAGTAATATCAGCTGTTTTCAATAATACGCAACAAGGATGTCCATTATTGTTCGTGAACCATATATTTGTTTCCATACCTTAATTTCATCGCCCTCAAATTCTCATTTTTCATTGGACGTTATAGAATGTTCTACGGGCAGGGTATCCCTTTCGGTGGTGGAAGCCTTAGTATGCGAAAGAATGGGCATTGCTCAGACCAGGGACTGGTAAGCTATTTATTTCTATTCTGTGGTCAGATCATTGTAGTCACTGGTTCGTGGGACACCGCGTACTGGTACTTCTGCGGTTGATATCAAAGTAACTTTTCTGGTAGATCTGTGGTTTTTGCTGACGACTACCGTTATGCCATTGCACCGATTGCAATTGGCCATTTTGTAGAATAAAGTGTCGGTAGAAGTATGGGTTTAGACTAGAATAAGAGGAGTTTTCGTTTGGTTTCACGTTTCGCCATTTGTGAATTTTCTCATCCAAGTGTTTCTGGTCTCATTACATTAGATTCGTGACATGTTTATGATTGGTAAGTTTATTATTGCGTTTGATGATGTGTAAAAATGTATTTTTTAGAGTTTATAAACTGCTATCGCCATTTTGTTAATTGCTTATTATATTATTTTGTTAAGTGCTTATTATATTATTTTTGAACGAGGCATGTTGAATGATTGAGATAATTGTTTTTTATTCGACAAAAAGTGGATCAATTGATTTTCATCCCTCGCATACATTTACATATAAATTCATGTAAACGAATTAAACAGAAGTCAATATCCAAAATTAATAGTATTTGCTAGGGTTTTCTTGAATTTTTAACGCAAATGTCAAGTTTTGCTAAATTTTTGTGCTGGTGATATTTTCTTGTTTGTTACATTTTCGAAGTAGTAGTATTTCCACATGCTTGTATTTAAAGCTGCAAGTTGGTTTATACCACACGTTTTATATATCCCGTGACCTTTATTGTTAGATGTCGCCTTATCTCAGAATTTGTTAAAAATAGCAACGGAACTTTGAGGCAAAAGTTGTTTAGATTCATCTTTGTTTTTAAAAAGTTATTATACGGTGTGGCCACATTCATCGGAATCTCAAAATCTCCGCTTAGATGAATGTAGGAAAAGTTTTGTTTTTTGAAGCTTATTTATATGCCGCATATTGTGGTATTTGAAAAGTACCAATGAGAAAATGTTGTTAGTTTTTTTGTACTTTATCTAATTATGACGGTAAACGTACTTGGAACCTACTCATTGTGTGTATGAATGAAACTATGACATACGCAATACTCTGTTTTATACAAATTCTAAGAGAATGTCTTTTACTATAATAATGTCTAACAAGATTTCAGTTTCTTAATTTTCCTAGCTTCATTATCCTTAGATTTTGCTTCTGCAGCTACGTCATCAACATTATCTTACAAGCAATTAAATTAATTTGACTCACTTTTTTCTCGAATATATTATTGCAATTACAGTTTTCAGAAATAAAACGAGACAGCTGATTTTTTAACATAATTAGGTTAATTTTATGTAATTTTGACAGCTCATTTATAATAAAAACATTGCATTAAGTGCCATGCAATGGCTACTGGAATCAGTGCATCTTCAGATGATACGATTACAGGGTTTTAAACATTTGCTTATATTCCTAACAAACTTTTTATCTTACATATTATTTATTTAACGATTATAGAAACATAACTTAACTTGGAAAACTTAAAACATTTTGCAGCTTTGCTATGGTGACAGAAGCTGTATGAAGCTGTTGAGCAAGTTCCATTGTTGTCGTATTTATATTTTTCATAGAAAGCCACCATATCAGTGGTTTTACATTCTCAATTAGGTAGATGTATAGAAAATATATATGGTTTAAATGGTGCACAGTTTGCCTGGAAATTAATAATTGGCAATGCTTCTATATGATTGGTTTCTACATATTCCGCGGCAGTTTCTATTTGCTCTTGACTGAGTTTATTTCTTGTACAGCGATGATCAAGCAAATTTGCCAAAAAATGGGATGGGGTCAAAACCATTTTCATGTGCTCCTTGACTTTATTCGTATCACTTACCTTACTTTGTCCAAAGCAACTGTGATATGCTGTAAGGTTTTTAATTAGCCTGGGGCATTTGTCTTTAAATTGGTGTTGGTTAGAAACTTTATTATACCTATATCAATACTTATTTTGTTGTGTGACCAAACAGGAGATAATGTTGGCCGGTTTGTCAAAAAACTTCTTAAGCAGTCCAATAAAGTAACGAACATCCTGAGGCAATACAAGGGCAGAACCACCAGCATTTCTGAATTTTGCGCTGGCCAAAAGTACATTTGTATT